AAAAAAAAAAAAAAAAAAAAAAAAAAAAAAAAAAAAAAAAAAAAAAAAAAAGAAAAGAAATGAATATTCTGATTGCTGTTACACCTCAAAAGCCTTATTCATAGTGTCTGGCATGTGGTAAATACATAATATATGTATTAAAATTCTAAAATTTCAGGCTGGGCACAGTGGCTCACACCTGTAATCCCAGTACTTCTGGAGGCTATGAGGGGGTGGATCACCTGGTATCAGGAATTCGAGACCAGTCTGACCAACATGGCAAAACCCTGTCTCTACCAAAAATACAAAATCAGCTGGGTGTGGTGGTACATGCCTGCAATCCCAGCTACTAGGGAGGCTGAGGCAGGAGAATCACTTGGACCTGGGAGGTGGAGGTTGTAGTAAGCCAAGATTGTACCATTGCACTCCAGCGTGGGCCATGAGCAAAACTCTATCTCAAAAAAAAGAAAAACATTCTAAACTTTCGGACATTAAGACATTTGATTTAGTTACAAGTTACAACTGTTCTTAGCTGTGAGATGTGAACTTGCCTGAATCAATAATAAACTGTCCTGGCCGGTCGTGGTGGCTCTCGCCTGTAATCCCAGAACTTTGGGAGGCTGAGGCAGGTGGACTACCTGAGGTCAGGAGTTCAAGAACAGCCTAACCAACATGGTATAAAATGCTGTCTCTACTAAAAACACAACAATTAGCTGGGCGTGGTGGCAGATGCCTGCAATCCCAGCTACTGGGGAAGCTGAGGCAGGAGGATCTCTTGAACCTGAAAGGTGGAAGTTACAGTGAGCCGAGATTGTACCATTGCACTCCAGCCTGAATAACAAGAGCAAAACTCCACCTCAAGAGGAAAAAAAAAAAAATTTTTTTTTTTTTTTAAACCCTCAATCACCAGGCACAGTGGCTCACGCCTGTAACCCCAGCACTTTGGGAGGCCGAGGCGGGCGGATCACGAGGTCAATAGATCGAGACCATCCTGGCCAACATAGTGAAACCCCGTCTCTACTAAAATATAAAAATTAGCTGGGCATGGTGGTGCACGTCTGTAGTCCCAGCTACTCGGGAGGCTGAAGCAGGATAATTGCCTGAACCCGGGAGGCAGAGGTTGCAGTGAGCCAAGATCGCACCACTGCACTCCAGCCTGGTGCCTGGCAACAGAGCGAGACTCTGTCTCAATCAATCAATCAATCAATCAATAAAAATAAAAAACCCTCAATCATTTTGAAAACATTTAAGCCTCGTACTTTAGAATACATTTTGCATCATTTTTCCATAGGTGTCAGAAAAACATTTTAGTGACTTCTCAAAAAGAAAATCAAAACCTTAATCAATCAGCCTATCTATATATTAGAAACCAAATAATACAAGGTGAAAAGCACAACTCCTTCAAAGCTAGATCTCCACTAATCAAAGAATGGTAATAGTAACAAGCCACACTAAATCTGGTGCCCTACTAAGATATACCAAAAACCCTACTGCTAGAACAGCAAAAAAAAGGAGGCATGACCAATGCCTTATCTGACATTTTGATCAGTGTCCTAGGGACATCATGAAGTCCTACCTTAGAGGCTCTGGATTCTACACTGCATGATCAGAAATTTTGTCAACAATGAAGTAGCTCTGCTCCTCCCTCACTTGTATGAGCACACTGGAGGCCGATTATCCTGACATTGGAGTTGCATGTCCACTGTCAGGTCTCAGAAGGGGCTTGGTCTCAGAAGGGGCTTGGCAGCAAAAGTTACAAAAAAGACAGTAATAGTGGTATGAAGTTGACAGCCACATGTCAAGCACTTTCTGCCCATAAAAAGGCCCTTTTCTTCAGTGTTTGCATCAACTGTAACAAAAGAAGCAAGAACAAAATAAACAAGTTGCTCCACACTGTAAGCAAACTGGATCCACCATGAAGGCATTCCAGGAAGGTGCCTGGTTGATGATGATGAAGAAATTTTCTAGTAACAGAGTAGGGTCTACTTTATTTTGGAATAATAGATGATTTTTTTAAAATCTATATTTCAGCTAAATAAATGATTTTTAAATGCTTATGCCCCTTCAAAAATAGCCCTTTTCCTTCACCATGTAAGGATAGAAAAATTTCAAGTTTTAACAAATTGGTTGTGCATATTGCTTGGCAACATTTGGTTTTTTGCCTCTATAAAAACATACTATATAAATAAGCAAAATATCCTGTATAATACTAATACGCATATGGTTTGTTTTTTCTTTCAGAAAATAGAACTAATATTCTCCTGACTTCACATTCAGTACCCAGAAAGCAACTATTATGAGAACTAGAGTATGAAGTCTGAACTAAAAGATAAGATACTCCCTCTTTAATGTGTGTCACAAAGAAGAACGTAGAAGATAAAAAACAAACTTAGAATTCAGAAGTCATTTGCTAAGAAGAAAGTCAAAAGATACCTACCACCATTTTTGTCTTTATGTTCATTTGCAAAGTCTAATATAAACACCTATTTGCAAATAATGAGCCAAATTTTACTTGTTCAATTTCAAGCATATAAGAGTACAGCCGTATATTTATTCATATTATGCAATAGTATTTTACCTAATCTCATTTGAGGAGAAAAATATCTAAATAGTAGAGAAACCAAGATACTTATATAAACATCATAAACTAAATATGAAATTTAAGAAATACTTATTTTAATCATATATTCTAAAAATATATAATCAAAATAATTTTAACATTTTCCAACCTTTAATAATATGTAGCTTTAAAAATATTACAACAGGCTGGGCACAGTGGCTCATGTCTATAATCCCAGCACTTTGGGAGGCTGAGGTGGGCTGATCAACTGAGGCCAGGAGTTCAAGACCAGCCTGGCCAAGATGGCAAAACACTATCTCCACTAAAAATATAAAAATTAGCCAGGTGTAGTGGCATGTGCCTGTAATCCCAGCTACCCGGGAGGCTGAGACAGGATAATCACTTGAACCCGAGAGGCAGAGGTTGCATTGAGCCAAGATCATACCACTACACTCCAGCCTGGGCGACAGAGTGAGAATTTGTCTCAAAAAAAAAAAAAAAAAAAAGTTATAATATATTCATTATCAATGACATTTAAATATGATATTGCAACAGATTTTGCTATCCCATCTGCTTAAATCAAACATCCACTTACATTTGACGCTTAATATACTCTTTAAGCAATGCTTCTTCCACAGGATACACCTGTACACCTGTACCATCATCATAGTAATACATCATACTGGTATTAAGTTCTGTTTGAAATGGTTGATCAGTCCTTTCACCATGTTCTTGATAACCATATGAATAATCAAAGTTCACTTGATGTGAATAAAGAAAAAGAAAGGTAATCACACATTAGAAAAAAAGGCTATTACTATGGCTAAAGTGAACAACTTCAAAGGTTAACAAATATAAAACTATCTATTATCAGACAAAAAAATTAGTTAAAACATAATACAGGATAGCTGCTCTGTTTTTTTCAAAGTTTATCTAATTTAACAAAACAAATATTATGTCATACATCGAGGATTTCCTCTGCCTCGTCCTCTTCCCCGTCCTCGGCCTCTTCCTCGGCCTCTAAAGGAACCTCGGATATTACCACCCTCGCTTCTCACACTGGAAACTTCATCTTGATCATCTCTTTTTTCTCTATCTCGCCTCCAACCTTGTAAAAATAAAAATATTTTTATGTACTCCAATTTGCAAATAAAATAAGATGATTATCTTTATAAAAACATAGTAGCCACCTTCTTCCACACTTCGTAACTAATTAATAGTCCCAGGCATTTTTCAGATGGATACAAACTGAAAAAGATCCAACAGGAATTTATCAAAAATATCTCTAGCATAAAACAGACCTCAAAAAGTATTAGCATATAAATAATACATTCTAACAAGTATAACAACATACTAGAAAGATAAAGAGATACTTTTATTAAGATTGCTGTTAAAGATTCAAGAAGTTCCAAGATTACTAAGTTTGTACTACATATTTCTACCAAAGTAGGTAGAAATTTAAAAAAAAAAAAAAGTTTGTACTACATAAAACTTCTAAAAAAACACGTTTCACAAAATATCTAAGGATGGTTCTATTTATTTAAGTAAACGTCATTCCTTATAAAGTAAAAAGGAAATGAAAACACAAAACAAATTTAGAAAAGGTATCTGAAGCAAAATGTAGAAATTCTATATGGAGTACACATAATAACTCATACCACGCCCTCTCATGCAACATGCACACACACACACACACACACACACACACACACTCAACTCACTCTCTCTCTCTCTCTCTCTCTCTCCCCCCCCCAAACAACTTCACATTAGGAAAAATGTCTAAAATACAATCAGGGCAACAAAATGCAAGTGGACAATAAATACACAAAACGGTGCCTACCAATGGGTCAATAATCATAAAAGTCCGGGCGAGTGACTCAGGCCCGTAATCCCAGCACTTTGGAAAGCCAAGGCAGATGGATAACCTGAGGTCAGGAGCTGAAGACCAGACTGGCCAACATAGTAAAACCCATTCTCTACTAAAAATACAAAAAACCATAGCACACACTATTTGGGGGCTAAGGGAAGAGAATCACTTGAACCTGAGAGGCAGGGGTTGCAGTGAGGAGAGATCACACCACCGCACTCCAGCCTAGGCTACAGAGCGAGATTCCCTCTCAAAAAAAAAAAAAAGAAAAAAAAATCATCAAAAGGCTCACACTTGTGATAACAGCACTTTGGTAGGTTGAGGCAGGCAAATTGCTTCAGTGCAGGAGTTCAAGACCAGCCTGGGAAACATGGCAAAACCCTGCCCGTACTAAAAATACAAAAAATTAGCGAAGTGTGGTGGCGCCGGTTGTGTTGTCCCAGCTACTCGGGAGGCGGGAATGGGAGACTCTCTTGAGCACCAGAGGTGGAGGTTGCGGTGAGCTGAGTTACTATGCTCAAGGCTAGGAGAAGGGTGAGACGCAATCTCAAAAAAAGGTAATCATCATCATCATCATAAAAAGAAAAAGAGCCAGGTGCAGTGGCTCAGGCCTGTAACCCCAGCACTTTGGGAGGCCTAGGCAGGCAGGTCACTTGAGGTCAGGAATTCAAGACCAGCCTAGCCAACACGGCTAAACCCCATCTCTACTGAAAATACAAAAATTAGCCAGGTATAGTGGTACGTGCCTGTAATCCCAGCTACTTGGTAGGCTGAGGCAGAAGAATTGTTTGAATCTGGGAGGCAGAGGAGGTTGCAGTGTGCCCAGAACCTGCCACTGCACTCCATCCTGAGTGACAGAGCAAGACTTCATCTCAGAAAAAAAAAAGAAAAACAAACGGTGCTCAGCCTTATTGACTATGAGAAATGCAAATTAAGATAATGAAAGGCTCTTTACCCCAGTATAACTAAATTTTAATGTCTCTAATATGAAATGTTCAACATTAGCCAGGCACAGTTGCTCACACCTGTAATCCCAGCACTTTGGGAGGCTCTGGTGGGCAGAGAGAACTTGAGGTCAGGAGTTTCAAGACCAGCCTGGCCGACATGGCGAAACTCGTCTCTCCTAAAAATACAAAAATTAGCTAGGCATGGTGGCGAGTGCCTGTAGTCCCAGCAACTCAGAAGGCTGAGACAAGAGAATCACTTGAACTCAGGAGGCAGAGGTTGCAGTGAGCCGAGATCTCTCCACTGAACTCCAGCCTGGGCATCAGAGTGAGACTCTGTCTCAAAAAAAAGGGTACACATTAGTGAGGTTGAGAATAGATATATCTACTTTGAAAATCAACTTGGGGCCGGGCGCGGTGGCTCAAGCCTGTAATCCCAGCACTTTGGGAGGCCGAGGCAGGTGGATCACGAGGTCAAGAGATTGAGACCATCCTGGTCAACATGGTGAAACCCCGTCTC